AATTATATATTTTGCTTTTTCAAGAATGCACATGGGACAATCAAAAAAAATGAGACGGCGATATGGAACGGGATAATTATATGGAAACTATGTCGAAACTCTACAAAAACTGCGGAATTCCAAAACTTCAATTTCATTTCAAAATTGGTCTTTTTTTAGAAAATTATTTCAGTTGTACAGTATATTTAATGGCTACAGTATAAAATTAAAATATTAATCTATGGCTTACAATGAAGGAGACTACGAAACTATTTTATATCTAGCGCCGCATTTGGTATGCTAGTCGAACCTTTAAAGAAACTATAGTACTTATACAGATATTCTTAAAAATTAATATGCCTTAAAAAATTAAAAAAAAAAACAGACCAAACTTAAATTAACTTAAAACTACATTAAATCTAAACTTACAATTTCTATTTTATTGAGCTGTGCTATATACAGACCTAATATCGGCGTCAAAACGGTGGTACCTCCGATGATAATACATCAGTCATCATCATCGTATAGGATTCCTCCGTCTCGCAGCTTCAGCAAAGTTGTGGGGGAGGATAAGGAAAATTCTAAGTATGGAGTGGCGTTTCTCCTTGTACTCCAAATAATTGAGGGCATAATTCATCATGCAGACATCGATTCGGTTGAAGTCGATTCCAATGTAGATGTTCCTATTGGTCGGACGTCTATAAATTCCATTGCTATCCAGTGTTGGTCTAATTCCCACGCATGATACCAATATGTTACTCGCCCCCATTCAGCAAAGGTGTAGGTGGTGATGGGTTTAATCACTTGCTTGTATATTAACAACTTGGATAGACAAAGTCCATATTTTTGGCCTTTGAAAGCAAGTAATCCCCATGTCGACCGTAGTCGAATCTTTCGTGCAGGATGATTCCATAAGAACTTTAAATACTTGCGGGAAATTTATATTCACATCCAGTCCGTATATTTCAGATATGGCGCTCAATGTATCTTTCTGTTCTAAAGAAATACATTTATGTTTTTTTGTTGTTTTCAAATACTTGCGGGATATTTATATTGAGGTTATGTCAAAACATAGACTACATCAAAACATTTAAAATGGGACAGGACAATTATTTCGTTTTTCGACTTTTATCGACTAGTGACTAAAAATTTGATTTTTTATATGAACTATTGTTCTGGAACAGGATCTGCAAAAATTCGCTCGCGAATGAATTACAACACATTCTTTTCGTTTTGTGTTCATTTTACGAATGAATTTATGGCGATAAATTCTTTACCAAACGTGCATTCGCCAAAAAATGTTCGCACACACATAACAAACGGGTGAGAGCACACAACAACGATCGTTCGTTTCGTTTGGTGGTTGAAATTCTTTGCGACATTCTCTCACGAATGAATACAAACATTCCCGAATTCTCGCGAATGCTCACAACAACAACAAACGTTCATGAACTCAATATTTGTTGGACATGTGTTTTGTTATTCCACACACATATTCCTTCGTTGTTTGTGTGCGTTTACTTTTTTATGATATTTTTTGTTTGTTGTTGTTTTTAACAGTGCTCGCGAGCATTTGCGAACATTTGTTTTTTGAGTTTTTCAAAGTAATGTTCTTCAGCAACAAATACTTGTTAAAGAACGAATCGACGACGCTTGCAGCGAAATTTTATCGTTCGTGAATTTTTCGTACAATGCTAACATTCGCGAGAGAATGCAAATGATTGTTCATTCATTGTAACTTTATCATTCGCGATAAATTGAAAACATTCGAATTCTCGCCGTGAGCATTCGTAAAAAAGAGTGTAAATTCTTTGCACCCTGTTCTGGAATGCGTAATTTGGATTTTGTGATAATAAATCATGTCGATCTTGAAAAGTCGAATTTGCAATTTTCCTCAAAGATCAAAAGTCGATTAGTCGAGAGTGGATTTACTTATACCTAATAGGAAATCAACAATTCTGTTTCAAATGTTAATACAACCGATGAAAAAACATGAATTAGGCATACATTCGCACCCAGTCCGTATATTTCCGATATGGCGCCCAACGTTTGTTTTTTTCTACTCTAAAGAAATACTCGCAGAAATGTTCCCGAGTTATGTTGTTCCGAAACAAACCAGTTGACAGCAATTATTCTGATTCGAAACTAAATCAAGTTTTTTTAGTCCATCTAGTTCCTTTATTTATCGTTCGTTCTCTTTCGTTGGGCAAATGTTGCTAAATTTTTGAAAACTATTACCTCGAGCAAAGAGATCTTTTAACTTTCGGTATATTGAAGTTCTCAACCCAGTTTTTCACCCGTTCCGAACTTTTTAGGACATTTTGTGAGCATATAACAGATCTGCTGGACGGAACTTGGCGCATTTTTTTTTTTTTGCAATTTTTTTGCTTACTGATCAAATTTTTATTTTACGCCGTATATGCTTATTAATTTGACCTTTTTAACAATCCCATTGATGGTGGTGGTGATGACAATGATTTAATTAAAATAACAACAACAACGAAAAAATAATAACACTAAATCATCAACTGGATATTTGTTATTTATATTTGCTTTTCTTTTTTTATATTTCTTTTCAGAATTAACGTAAAAAAGGAATATCGAAATCAACACAATTGCAACGCCCAGCGAAAGACAAAGAAAGAAGAGAAAAAGTTCATAAAACTACACAACAAGCAAATAATAAAATAAATTACAACAAAAGAAAAGAAAATTATTTTCACAGAGAAATGGAAAACGTGTAAAAAAATAAACTAATAATAAAATTGTGTATAAATTTTTTTTGTAGATATTCCTTAAAAAAGAAAGCAGCAGCTGCAAATAAAGTATTTTCATATGCATTAAGAAAAACGAAATAAAAAATATTTATTATAAGAAAAAAAGCATTAACAAAAAGAACAAACAACAAGGAAATTAAGTAAATCATCAACAACAGCAACAACAATTTATGTGCCATAATCGAAATCATTTAGATTAAAAAACAAAAACAAGTTTATATACATATTCCTAAAAGAAAAATAAAACCACTAAAAGCTTTAAAACATAATTTATAAAAATAATATATATACATAAATATTTATTTTAATACATATAAAACAAAAAAAAAAAAAAAAAAAAAATCAACTCTAAAAATAAGCAACCACTTAACTAAGACAAAGGTGTCAATATCGTCGTAACACCTAAGAAGTAACCACAAAAAAATTCTACTCACAACAATAACAGTAAGAGAAGAAGAGAGTTATCACACCAATATTCCCCTTACTCTCAGCCAGCAAAAACCCAACAAATTTGACAAAGTGTAAACAACATTGTATTCATAACAGTATTATTAACACATAAACCCCCCAACAACATCACATTGCCAACGCCGTCATTTGAACTCTTGGCCGTCAACGCCATCATCATCCTCATCGTTGAGTAGTTCAGTGTATACGAGTGTGTGTGTGTGTCTGTTACAAACTCATCACCGCAAATCACTCTGACAACTGTAAACATCAAGAAGAACAACAACAACTGCTACTTACCTAACAGCTGTTGAATCGTTGTTGTTTAACAAGAACCAACGAACCCCAACCAAGCAGAGATTGCCCCAACAAAACCAAACGGAAAAAAGCGAGAGTGTTTTTAACACCATCACTAACCATTATTATTGTTGACATCATCATCATCGTCGTCGTCGGCACCCTCATCCTCGTTCGTCATTGTTGTGTTTTACAGCAACGACAAGGGCTACTGCCTACACGGAGACAAACACCAACAACAACAAAAATAAATAACTTTACAACCACAAATCGCAACACATTACATTGTTACAGTGGTGGTAGCAGCAGCAGCAGCAAAGGCATTGTCGGCAGCAGAGAAGAGTAACAGACCCCCCACATTAACACAACACACAGAGGAGAGCCAAGTGAGAACAGAGAACAAAAAAATACAAGAAGTAAATAAAAAAACACACACATAGTGGATTTGTGCGTATGCTTGCCTGTTTTAAACGTCTGGCTGGCTGACTGCCTCGTTTCGTCGCAGTCGTCACAGTGTTGACTCCTTCGGCTGCAATAACAACAACTACATTTTTTTACCATATGCAACAACCACACCAACAATTTGTGTACGGCATTGTTCTTCATGGTCTTCCGATTTGCTAAGAGTTTGTGTGTGTTCATGTCTTGTCTGTCTTACCATTGTGACGTAGTCATTGTTTTCTATCACCGAGAGGGGAAAAAGAGACTAAGGAGAGAAAGTAGTCTTCCTGTGTGTGTTCAGTAGAGTGTGAAGAGTGTTCATTTTTTTCGTGTCTTAAAATCAGTATTGATTTGTGAAAGTGTCAACATTCTTGTGGATTTGTGTTCTCGTGTCTGTCGTCGTCCTAACTAATGTTTAGAAAAGGAAGAACAAGAAAATTACCACTACTCTGTTATGTTTGTATCCTGCCATATCATCACAACGTATGAACATTCAGTCTGAAAAGCAAAACAAGAGAGAAAATCAGCCAACAAAAGCTGTGTTACTAACCCACATACAAACAGAAAAAAATACTCTGACACCCAAACAAGCAGACACCAGACAAACCATCAAGCAGTAGCTACTTCTGTAGTTGGATATCATCATCAGTCATTTGCTGTTAGCTTGTGCTCTGGTATTGTGCAAAGAACAGGAAGTTAAAACAAACAGGGGGAGAAAAAAACATCAAAACAAAGCTACACGCGGTTACAGCGTCGTCGTCATCGGTGTTTCCCAAACATTTGTGGGCCACAAGCAAAAAAAAAAAAAAACACCACACACACAAGAGAGACATAGAGACTAAGGCAAGGCGGCAAAACTAAAGCGACCTTGGGTGTTTACAAAAACAAAACAGAAAAAACGCAAACAATCCGGCTAACACCATCACGACCACCACCCGTAAAGTCAACAATTTGTTGTGTGGGTCATCATCATCATCAAACAGCAACAGCAACAACAAGTCTTCACATTGTGTTTCATTGTTATTTTTATTTTTCGTTTCTGTGTTGTTTTCGTCTTTTTTTTGTCCATCAAAATGTCCTGCATCTCCAGTAATTTTAGTTCGTTCTTCTTAAATTCCCTCAATGATCCATCGGAATTTTCGAAATATTTAAGTAATGGCGAATTGAGATTTTCCTCTTTCGAGGATTTTCAAGTCTACAACAATAGTTCGCCGCAACAATACCAACAACAACAGCAGCCGCAACAACATTATCACACAAATGGCACAGATGCGGCGAACGATGATAACAATTCTAATTTGGAAAATACTCAGCCGCAAGCTGCCGGTGGGCAACATTATGCTGCCGGAGGTGGCAATTATCAGCAACAGGTTCACCAAGGTCAAGTGCATGGCGGTGTCGCCAATACTCCACCTACACATCCTCTAATGCATTTGCAACAACATCAACAAAGATGGGCACCACAACATCCAGCAGCTAATTCATCACATCATGGTGGACCACCAAATGCCGCTGGTCATCAGCAGCAGCAACAAGCACATTTTGATGGTTCCTTTGAATTTATGAAATACTTGCGTCACTCGAATGATTACAGTGATTCCTCAAATCCCCATGACCCACACCAACGTTCAGCCTCCCAGCAACAACATCATCCACATAATGGCAGTGCTTCCAGTGGTCCAGGTCCTGGTCCCACAGCCATTGGCACCAAACCAGAACCTTCCCTAAATGCCAATAATTCCAGTCTCATCGATTTGGATAACACACCCCACAAAGTGTCACGTTCCTCACGCAAAACTCCCGCCTCCAGCAATTCGAATAGCAACGGCAATTCGAACAGCAACCATCATCCACCCACTCCCATGGCCGTGGATGTTTACGATCATGATTCCAAGCACATGATGTACGATATGCATCACATGAATTCGGCCCATAGCTCCAATGAGTCCTCCATGGAATTGTCCTCGCTGACGTATCCCAATTCGCATTTGAATGCTTCCAATTCGAATACCTCTTCGGAGGGTGGTGGCAACAATCAGGGTCACAGTGACTTTTCTATGTTGGGTGTTGGTGGTGGTGCCGCTGGCTCCTCCACAAATTCATCATCGTCGGCCAATCCAGATGCGGCAGCAGCATCGCCGGCTGCACCCAAGCCCTTGGCCACATTCACCATTGTGGAGAACTTTGAAGCACATCCGTCGCACAAGGTGGAGGAGGGTATATTCCAGCACATGAACAAGTTGCCAGCCAAGAAAAAAGAGAATCTCAAACAGTTGGGTGTACGTTTTACCGGTCAGATGACACTCAACGATAAATCGATAATTGTGGAGAACTTTATTAAATTCTGTCAGGTAAGTGGATTGTTTGTTCTATCTTTCTTTTTTTTATTGAATCACTTGACCATTTCCTGGACATTTGTTGTTAGCTATCTGTTGCAATACAACAATATGCATTGTGGTCAATGTCATATTGCCATTTGGTATGTATATATTAGCAGGATATTAATTTATAATGCAGTCCTGCAGCCCACAGGGATGTTAACTATAATAAAGAACGTTTATTAGTTCTCACAATATGTTTGATAAGTTTATTTTACGAGCGATGAACTAGTTCAATTCCACGATTCTCTGAAATGGGCATACGATCTAGTTTCGTTCACATAGTTCTGTTTTTAATTTTGACAAAGAAGAATATATAAAACATACTGTTCTTTATCGATTCATAGTTCTCAAAAATTCCAACATTATTAAAAAGGTTCGCATTTTTTTGTAAGAGAAGGACAAAAGCATGAAAACGAACCAGTTATCATAGCCTATGACCGATCAACGAGCTAGGTAGTGAATTACGAACGGTGGCCGAATCAACTGATGAACAATGAACTAGATGAATGCAGAATTTAGTCAAAAGAATTGAACTATAGTTCAATATTACGGTTCGATCTCGTTTAGTTCGCCCCGCAAAAGAAATAAGGAACTAGATGTACGAAATAGTCGGACCTAGTATCGATCGTTCCATTTCCGGAATAATTCCTTTGAACTAGTTACGGACATTTGATTCTCCAAGCTTTTTTGTAGAAAGCTTTACAAAATATACTCGCTTATTTGATTTGGTGGGTTCGGAAACCTCGTGAGAAAGTTGCAATCTGGGTCCGCATATAATAGTCGACTTTCCATTTGCACATTTTCAATGTTGATCAGCAATATTAGCTTACGTAGCGATGCGAGAATTATCCCAAAATTGGGGTATATAAATGTGGATCATTTGTAGAGGAGGTACTTGAACATTGGTTACTCCATTTAATCCCTACAACAATTACCGGGAGCATCTACCAGACATCCAGACGAACTGGCTGAAGGATATTTGGAAACAAAAGCCAAAGTGTCTCAAAAGGATTTCGTCCAACGAAACATGGGGTCAAAACTCGATATTTAGATGAGATACATTTTTGTCGAAGTGTATACAGCCTCATTAGTCATAATGCAGAGTTTTTAAGATGTAAAAACGTCGTTGAATTCGTCGGAACAAACTTTTAATACTACACACAATGAGGTGTATACACAAAATATCTAAAATCGATCGGAAATTTTATGTGAGGGTCATTCTATTGTATATATATATGTATATTTTTTTGTAGCAAGATTTGACACCCAATTAAAAAAACAAATTTTCAAATTTTAGGCAATTCGATTGAAAAACGTTTTCTAATTTCCCAAACTGTCGAAATTTTGAGAGGTAATGTTAAATGGGTGCTACCCCGAATCTTGAGTCAATATTGATACATTTTGGTAGAGACAACCAATATTGATAATTTTTGATGGAAAGATTTGCTACCCAATGATAAGCCAAAATATTAAATTGGGGCAAGTCGATTGAAAAACGTACTAAAAATTGCCGAATAATGGGAGTAGCGTTACATAGTTTTGGGTAAAGAGATTTTATACCCAATGATACCAAATACCAAAATACTACATTACAGCCTGTTTGATTGTGTGTGTCCAGAATACCGACAGTTGGGAAGTATGGTTGTTTGTGGACTTGGGATACGTAGCCGAGCACAAAAAGTCGACTATTCGACCTTTCGATTCTGGCAAACCTGTTCAAAATCGATTTTCGAAAGATAAAAATGTTTTGGAATAATTTGTGGACAATTTGAGACAATTTCTGCGTTTTATGAATGCAATTCATAAAACATTAAATACTGGTTTCTTGTCAGAGAGTGAAAATTAACAACTTTTTAGTGTTTTATTTTGATTTTTATACCCTACACAACTATGTTGTCAGGGTATTATAGCTTTGTGCAGCCCCAAGAGTTTGTAACGCCGCGAAATATTGGTCCTAGACCCACCTTTAAGTATACCGATCGTCATATCTCGACTAGCTGAGTCGATCTAGACATGTGTGTCCGTCCGTCCGTCTGTCCATTATAATTTGTAAACACGATACAGGACACAGTTATGGACCAATCTTCACGAAATTTTGCATGTAGGATGGGTTCTGGCCAATGAAGACCCCTATTGTTTTTGGTAAAGATGGGTTAATATCTAGGGGATGAAATGGACCGAAAACTCAATTTTTATCGGGTTTTCTGGTCGCTCCAGAGGCCTCAATTATGACACAAACATCGCGAATTTTTACATATAGAAGGGGATCGGGCCAAAGAATAAGCATGCATGTTTTAATAAGGATCGGTCAATATTTAGCGGGTCAAATGAACCCTGACTTTTGTGTGAAAAATTACAAAATTTGTATTCTATAGCATATAGATTTACCCCTGAAGGACACAGACCCGAAAAGTTGTTAGTATATCCAAGGGCAGTGGTTGACCTTTAAATTGATACCAATTATATGGTCGTTTGTACTCAGATGTCGGAGTTACACTTAAATGTTTACAGTTGCTTATGTATTCAGATACTACACTAGAGGGCGGTAATATAGCGCTGATCGCTTTAAACTGTTCCATGAGGTTCCAGTTATGGTCAAGGATAACACCTACAATTTTCGGTAATGATCAGATAATAATATTGTGATGAAGTGGACCGAAAACATATTTTTTGGTGTTTTTTTTTCGAGTCGATCTATAGGCCAGTGTAAGGAAGAGCTGCTGTTGACCTTATCGGCAAGAGCGTGCAAATATCACGAAATATTGCTCAGGCTCGCATTAAAAATCCGCAGAAGGTTAGAGTTCCGTGGTAGTTGTCTATGGTATCGTATGGTCGGCCCCGTCCGACTATACTGCTCCGCTCACTGGTTTTCTTCTTCGTTATGTCTTGTCTCGTTTCTCTTTATTTTCCTTAATATTCAAATTCTGCGTCATTAGAACCACCATAAATCATGCTTTGCGCTTGTTGCTCGTATTTGATATATTGAATTTAGCATTTATATCGAAATAATTTGGAAAATGTATATGCGAATTTTTGTAACACCATTGCAGAGGTTGCTACCAGTGTTTGAAAGGAACAATGGAATGTAAAACTAGCCACAATTGAGTGAGTGGAAAGTCGGCGACAGAAACTTAAATACTGTTGCAAATAACAAATACCAAGTAAGGGGAGAGACAGAGACCAATACAAAACACATCCGAACAATAAATTATGGTTGTGCTGGTGCTTTTTTTCTTGGGAGGAATACATTTGTTTTTGTTAAAAAATAGATAGGGAGAGAGGAAAAATGAGCAAAAATTGTGGTAAAGTAGATCGAAGTAGGAAAATAGTTGTGATATTATTGAAATGTTTACATTTTATGGAGAAAATTGTGGCTTGCTTAATGGTTATAAGATATTTACAAGCAGGGTGCGCAAAAATTCGCTCGCGAATGAATTAAAATGCATGAATACATGGCCATGAACCGTATCAATTTCGTGGAGCCTATTCTCCAGAGGTGCAGGAATTCATTGAGGCATATACCTTTATAGAATATATTAAGTATGTGGAAGAGAATGATGGTGAGGGTGCAGGAGGAGATGAGGGTGGAGAAATGAACGATTGGAATGCCTGTAAAAGAAAATGACATATCCTGCCTCTGAAGAAAAAGAAGTTAAGGATGAGGAGGAAATCGCTACCAGCAGCAATGCTTCGACCATGTTCTTTGTCGATCCCAATGAATATATTTTGGGTGTATCGAAAGATCTACACTATGTGCCAGAGTGTCTTGAAGACCGAAAATGTTTGCTATAATGTCAAGGTCCGAGGTGGCGAGGCAGCCAAATGGGGTGCCATGTTCGATAGTAAATGGATTGCTGATGATATTGATGAGGGATTTTTCTAGTATGAAGTCCATAATTTTAGATTTATAGATTTTGTAATAATATTTTGAATTCATTTTTATATATTTTTTTTAAGTTACACAGAGGAACAGAGTTTTTGTTAAACAAAATTGAATTATTTTTTAAATTAACTTAAAAAAAAGAATGATTTTATGGCGATAAAGCGGGGTTTTAAACTTATCGGGATTGGGATTGGTTTTAAGAGTAGTTTTCACTTGAGAGAATAATTAGAGTTGCGCTATTTTTAATTTTGTAACAAGCGTACTTTTTGTTCACAATAGGTACGAATTGACATAAACGTACCAACACAAAAAGTATATTTTTTTTATTATTCGTGAATACATTCACGCTTAAATTGTAAATAATTAAGATTTATTATCATTTGAAGTAGAATTTTAGGTACCTTTTTGTAGTTTTCTGGGATAATGTTTTCCAACTCAATTGACAATTTACCAATGATAGAGAGAGAAACTCTCAACACCAATCCCGATCACGATAAGTGTAAAACCTCGCAAAACTCTTTACCAAACGATAATTCGCCTAAGAATGTTCGCACACACATAACAAACGGGTGAGAGCACACAACAAGGATCGTTCGTTTCGTTTGGTGGTTGAAATTCTTTCTGAAATTCTCTCACGAATGAACACAAACATTCCCGAATTCTCGTAAATGTTCAAAACAGTAACAACAATAACACCGAATGTTCGTGAACTCAATAGTTGTTGGACATGTCACATGTGTTTTGTTATTCCACACACTTTGTTATTTCACACATACATTTGTTGTGTGTTGTGTTTACTTTTTTTATGACATTTTTGTTTGTGGTTGTTTTTAACAGTGCTCGCATGCATTCGCGAACATTTTTTTTCTTGAGTTTTTCAAAAGATTATTCTTCAGCAACAAATGCTCGCGAATGAATGAATCGGCGACGCTTGCAGCGAAGTTTTATCGTTCGTGAATTTTTCGTACAATACGAACATTCGCGAGAGATTGCATATGTTTGTTCATTCATTTTTACTTTATCATTCGCGATAAATTGAAAACATTCGCCCGTGAGCATTCGTGAGAAAGAGTGTATTTTAAGCACTCTCCGCACCCTGTTTACAAGTATTCAAAGCGAGATACATGTACAATATGGAAAAAATTAACTATAAATGAAATATGAAAATATTCATTAAACATTTTTGTATTAGTATTAATCGATTAGTCCATAGTCGATTTACTTATAATTATTGGGACCTATCTTTAAATGAGGTGCCGTCATTTGGGGTACCCAGAGAATATTTCGATGTGTGGCAAACGGTATAACAAATTTAATAAACAATTCGGCTTATGATGGGGGCTACAAAAACCCTCATGACATAGTTTCATTCTCTGGAGAAATTCATTTATGGCTCATGGTTATTTTTTTTTCGGACACACAATATCTCCACACAATATCTATCAGAGAAGAAGAACACAAAACAACATGGATTTTTTTTTATTTTTAATGATGTAAATGAAGTATTCAATGTCTTTATATTTCCATTCCGTTGTGTTTGGAGTGCCCATGTTCATTGTTGTACAGAAGAAAAAAAAAAAAAATCCTTCGAATATAGATCCATTATTTTATGGTTTCTCTATTTCTCTATGAACAAATACAAAATCTAAATTCTTAATTAAATCTCTAAATGATGGATAAACACACACTGGCTTATTTACACACACCAATACGGAGACGGTTGATTTTACTATGTCTGTTCCCCCCGCCCCAAATCATCCTGACAGTAAACGGCAAAGGAATACTAAACCAAAAATAGAGAGGCACATTCATTAGATGTGTGATATGTGTTGCCCCCCCCCAAAAGGACATTTTCAGTACTGTACTTTAAACTAAATACAAACACATATATGCGGACACACACACACATACGCATAAAACCTAACGAACGAATTTAGCTCACATGAAATTCGAACATGGAGATAATTTTTCGAATTGAAACGAGTTATGATGGAGGCCGTCTAAAACATTTGTACATTTTATGAGGTTTTGTCTATTCTAAAGGATTGCAAATTTCAAGGATATGTAGGTGTGCCTGTATGAGTATAGATGGTAAACAGGTCCACAGTACAAATTATCAACACTAGACAAACAAAAAGAATGAAAATAAATTTGATATTTGTTTGTATGTGTGTGTGTGCTACAAAATAAATATAATTTACATACATACTCGTATATATTATTCTTTCTATCTACGCATAATCAACACATACAGACGCACACCTAGCCATACATACATCAAAACATGTATCCTGTACATTTGTATATTTTGCATATATTATATTATTATGCTCTGTTTGTCGCCCAATTGTCCCTGCCCCTCCCCTCTATTTTATGTATGACCAAACGTCCAACCAACCAACCAAATATTATGCATTTCAATTTACATTTATTCATGTGCATGTGCTGTTGTTGTTGGTGTTCCTCTGGTTATATATTTATAATCTAATGCTATAGGAACATAGATACTCTCACACACACATTTATTATATTATTCAACACATATGTACATAATTTTAAAATTTATAATCAAAGTGTACAGAGAGTGTACTGTACCACCACCAACACCACCCCACCCGTACCGTACGTACACTTCACAAGTCCACTCACATAGGGGTACATTTCAAAATTAAAACTGATGAGATATTTCCATGCAAATATCTTTTAATTAATAATAATCAATATTTAGCAAATTTATACAATTAAGTAACTTTCGGGTTTATTTTTCCAATGAAATTATGCGACAAAATGGAGAACATGGTCCTTGGAGGGGATGTGAAAAATTCCTTATTAAGGATTAATCCTTTGCACTCCGTTATCCCCTCTCATGGGCCATAGGGGAAGATTGCTTCTTCAAAATCGGAAAAGAAATTCATTCGGTAAATATCATGAAATTTTCAAGGGTTAATATCCCAAATGGACAAATTCCACATACGTCACGTTTTTGAGTTATGGTGTGATGAATTTTTTGCGGCAACTCTAAAATTTGTAAACCCAAATCTCTAAAAAAATCATTAATAATTCAGGGTTACGTACTTGACATGGCTGGTCTAGTTCGCAGATCAGGTGTTGTCTTCCACTTGATCTTTCCTTGGAATTCGTGGCCTTCCCCTTCTGCGTGAACAATCACTTCTCTCTTTTCTATATGCCTTTTGAGCTGGGTCATCCTCATCCATTTTCACAACATGACCTAGCCAACATCGATGTCCGAGAATAGATGGTATAGCTCATGGTTCATTCGACGAAGATATTCAACATCGACGCAAATGGACCCATAGATCTTTCGAAGAATTTATTTTCTCAAACACTGTAAGAGCCGTCCACATCTACTTGCGCAAGTACCCATGCTTCAGATCCAGATCGTTGATACCATCGGCTTGGTCTTCTCGCTATTTACTGTAAGTCCCACTTTGGCTCTCAATTTGTTCAAAAGTGCCTATTGCTGCTCGCAATGTTCGACCCATTATGTCGATGTCGTCGGATTTGCATTACGTATGACCTTTTCCAGCAGGTCACACGACAAATTGTCACCTCGTTTCCACGACAGAGGGGTCTACGATCCGAAACGACCCGAGTCTTACTCGACCAACGTCTGTCACCTCAGCCCGTTGTGTAAAAGCAATAGGGCTGCTACAACAACAACAAACTGTCACCATGTCTGAATCCTAGTTCGGTATTGAAGCGCTCCGAGAGGTACTTTCCGACTTTTACTACTCACAGTTAATGTTATCCTACATAGCATTTTTAGGATTCTTGTTCATCCAAATTCAAATGTAGTACAAAACAACCGACATACCACAATCCCCATCAGCGGTCCTAACTCCAAATTTCAGCTCTAACGGTTTAACCAAAATTCTGTACCAAATGTAGTACATTTTAGTACTTTTCGGATACTCATAGTTTGAATTAAAAAAAAAAACTTCTACAATCCATCATGTAAGAGCTCTAATTTGACCGGTGCGCAAAATGTAAACGGTACCATATTTATTACTTTCGTGCCGTTCTAGACCCTACATTTCAATTTTGATCTAAATCTCAATTTAAATTTTTTTGCTCTATCCGTTTACATGATACGAATCTGTACGAATTTCCAAAAACCCAGTTTTTCTGTTACCTTCGGACTAACAATGATTCTGACCCCAAATATCAAGATTCGTCAAATACAAACGCTACCATATTTAGTACATTCGTGCCGTCCTAGTACGAATTTCCAAAAACCCAGCCTTATCTGATATTTTCGGGCTAAGAGTAACTCTGCCCCAAATTTCAAGATTGAATCGTTTTATTAATATAGATTGGCTCATATCGAACGTGCGAATCCTTTGACAACAGTTCACAACAATTCCGAAATTGTGCGAATTGCAACAACGACTCTATATGTGTAGTGCGGTGTGTGGCATTTGAAACGTGTGCCTATGTACCTACATATATGTATAATGCCCAAAAGTTATGACCAAACTTGGAATATAACTAAATAGACACACACACATATACACATGTACTTGTATGTATATACATGTGTTCGCATTTAGGTGGTTGATTCCTGTGATAATTTGAGAAATTATGTGGCGGAAGGTGAGAGCGATATGGGGAGGGTGGGAGTTACATGGGTACCAGGCATAGACAGAATGCGTCGACGAACTTTATCAAAGCTAAAAAATTAAATCATTTAATGGTGGGGGCAGGATGGGGGAGGGTGGTTTTGAATTTTAAATTTGAGTTAATTTTAGGAGAGTGGCATCTAAGGTGTATGCCAAACGGCTACATTGGGGAATTGTTAACCCACCCAGCAATTAGTAAAACCCCTTTATACATATGTATTCATATATACACTTGAATACTGGCTTCGCATGCCACCACAAACGGAAAATTATTTGAAATATGCTATATTTGCGAAAGGCTTGTTCGTTGACTGCACACAAATAAGCGAAGCTAACGGCGGTGGGGTTTTTCGTTGCGGCGTTATAATCGACACCGCCGCAACTGCTAAATGATATTTTGCGTCCCCACAACACTAACATTGAGTGTATATATGTATGTGAGTGTACGTATATACATACATAGAAGAAATACACATTATATATTCTATGTATGAAGAATTTAGATAATTAAGGTTGCTTGTTCCAGAATTAATTTAGCAAATCGAATTGTGGTGACTGACGACGACGATGACAACAACAGCAGCCATACTAAAATTATGAATATTTGTTATCATAGTATGAGTATGAGTGTAATAACTACATGTGTATATGTGAAGGATGGGAAATTGTCAACTACACATAATTTCTCATATTTGCAAATTTTATTCAAAAGGAGAAATTTAAAATGAAAAGTCATGACTAGAATTTGTGTAAAATATTTGTATCCATTTTAGCAACAACCATCACCAATACCACCACAAACAAAAGTCACAGCACTTACCAACACATAAACACATTCAATGTAAATGGATGCAAAAGTAAATAAGCACAAGGATAATGATGCAAAAGCTAAAATTTTTAGCAATAAATTGTGACGGCAAAGCAACCTACCAACCAGCCTTCCTTCCTCATTTCTTAGGTATAATATATATAGGCAGTCAGCTAGAAGGAAGGTGGTAACCTTCTTCCCATCTCCCCGAGTTTTGTGTTGAAAATAGTGGTTGGTAACACACAGACACGTCTTTTATTCGTACCATTTCGTTTCTATTTACGTTTTCGTCCAAATAGTTTTCCTACTTTTGCGTTTCCTCAATGCTGAAGATTTTCTTTGTTTGCAAACCATATTGCCGCCCCATCCACCACCCAGAAGTCGGAAAAGGTAATAAAAAGTTTACCAGTTTTTTTAGTACTCGCAACTAAAACTATAAATTTAGATTTTTTTGGAATATAAAAAGTGTTATATATATATATATATATATATACTAGTACATATATATAGTACTGTGCAAAATAATAGCAGATGACATTTGTATTACTTTATTTCTTCTTTTTGCAATACCACAAAATATTCATAGAAGGAATATTTTTTGTGATAGAATTCGGTTTGATAAAGTCTCTCTATAACGTTACCAAACATTCCGGGGTTTCGGAGGCTAAAATTTCATTTCTAGTCCCTCTCCATTGTGGACACAATAACCCACAAAGATGGTAATCTATTTGATCCAAACATTATATATCGGTGTTTTGTTTTTGATATTGAGCCGTTCCGTCCACTCGTTCTGTTAACCTCCGTCACTAAATTGTTCGATTTGTACAGTACGTTTACATTTAACCGGATTTCGTTAACCCAGTGCGTTTCAATTGTCAATTCCTTTGCATATACGTCAAATAAATCCTCATAAAGTAGGTTAACCCGGTAAAAAGTTCTAATGTACAAGGAGTTGTATACCCTCAACCGTATGGCTAATGAGGGTGTAAAGGGTGAGATGGAAAAACTGCAACCAACTTCAGACTGCTGTCATTTCTAAGGCACTCGTCCGACAGCTGTTAAAATTATTCTAGTGACAGCTTTTTATATTGTTTAAAAGCGTACAAAAGAATTTTTTAGAAAAAAAGTTATTCGTGATGGAATTCAAGCGGCATAGTGTGATTTCTTTATATTTGGCTGGTAAGCCACCACAAGTGGTTATCCTTAGAGCACTCCAGCATTTAAATGTGAATAAATCTTTTGTGTCTCGTACCATCGCTCGTTACCGTGATACTGGTAGAGTAGCCCGACGTCAAGGAAGTGGACGGAAGAAAACAGCAACATCAGCAAAATTGGTTTGAAAAGTAAAGAAGCGACTTGATCGAAACGCGCGTGGCCGTGGCCGAAAAATGGCTCGTGAGCTGAACATATCGCAATATTCCATTCGGCAAATATTGAAAAATGAGCTCGGGGTAAAACCATTGAAATTCCAAAAAATGCAAGAACTCACACCGCAACCGAAAGAAAATGGACTCAAAAGAGTTTCTTCGCTTGGCCGAAAATGGTGAACTGCCGAATTTGGTTTTCTCCGACGAGAAAACATTCATTGCCCAGCAGTTTACTTGCCAAAGAGATCAGCTGAAAATTTGCACCTTCGGTTGGCCACCAGAACACATGCGCCAGCCATGGTGATGGTGCGGGCCGCCATAACAGCCGATGTTCGCTCTCCGCTCGTATTAATCGACCGTGGCATCAGAATAGATGCCGAATATTATTGCGAAAATATTCTGGAGGAAACGCAAACATTTTGGCCGCAGTCCTTGGACATTCCAACAGGACTCAGCACTATCGCACTCAGCACGCGCTACCCAAAAATGTTTACAAAATGAGGTTCCTCGCTTCATTTCCAGGGCACAATGGCCACCAAAAACTCCGGATATCAATCCGTTGGACTATTGTGTCTGGAGTATTTTGAAAAGCAAGGTTGGCATTAAAAAATTCCAAAGTGTCGATCACATCAAGCAAGCGCTTCGCCGGGGATAGGCCAGAATATCGCAGAGTAAAATTCGGCAGCATGTGACGGTTTCGTTGGCCGTTTGAAGGCCATAATTCGTGCCAAAGGTAACTAAATCTAACAAATCTAAACTTATTCTAAAATTTGATGCTACTTCCGACATTTTTTGCTTTCATTCAATAAAATTAAAAAAATGTAAGAATTATGGCGATTTTTTATCTCACCCTGCCTTAACTGACAAACCACTTGACGCCGGCTGCCAAAATTTGGCTCACATGGTTTTAATGTCAAAACGATACTATTATGGTTCGCAAGTTAATGAATTTATACTCAAAATTTGGGTATATACTCAATAGGGGGTACCTTTATATAGGGGCTACCTGAAAACGTGGACCTACGTCAATAAATTTTTGCATGGATATTTGGTACCCATAGAGAACTCTCTGTGTCAAATTACAGTCAATTTTCATTGTAAAATATGGCTAATATACAAAAATTACCTTAAATCGGGAGGAACGGTTATATGGGGGCTATATCAAAACATGGACCCAGAGACCCCATTGACATTAAAAATATTTGAGCCAAGTTTTGGCAGCCTTCGTCAAATGGTTCGTCATTTAACGAGTTTATACACAATATTTGGGTAAATACTATCAGCCAAATGCAAATTACAACAAATTTTGCATTATTTAGCACCCTCCCTATAAGTACGAATTTTCAAAAGATCCTCAACCTTGCAAAACATTCAGACTCCCAGCTCCACCCTTCCCATAAATCCAAATTATACCATATTTAGTACATTTCGTGCCCATAAATACGAATTTCCTTAACTATCTGAATCATATTTCTAGCAGTAATCATAATTGAAATATCATGTTTCCATTTCTATCCGTTCAACCAAAACTAAATTGTACCAAGTTTAGTACCATTAAGTACACATAATCACGAAATTTCAAAACTACCTTCATGTCTCAATTCTACATTTCAACACTAGTTTTAATCCCAATTTTCAGGATTCCAGCCCTATCCGTTCACTCAAAAACAAATATTAGGTACCATTTAGTACTTTCCATAAGTACGAATTTTCTAATATCCAACAGTAATATTAATTCTAAACTTCTGGGAGTCCAACTCAATCCTTTCACACATAATCAAGTTGTACCAAATACAATACCTTTTAGTACATAAGAAGTACTAAACTTCCATATCTCAATTCTACACTCCAACAGCAACCATTAGTGTCTAAACACAACCAGAGAGTCAGCGGCATACTTCTTTTTGGCGGACGTGAAAACGAGAGAGCTAGCAGCACAAAATGTCAATTGTTGATTTTCATTTTCTGACAGACATTTTATTCAACATATCTTAAACCTAATGAATAATAAAAAAGTGGATATTATGTCTATTTTTTATTTCCTCGATCATTTTTTTCTTCCATTTTATTATTAATTCGTTAAAAAAAAAACGTTCACAATCTTTGAAAATATGTGTGTTTTTTTTAACAGCACTGCCATATGTTTTAATATAAATTTCCCTTGAAATTTTGGTAGCACTGCTGATTTTACCTAAAATATGGCAACTCAATCAAGAGCAAGGGAGAAAATTTGAGTATGTCCTGATTTAGATTAGGCGAGTTTACTTGCGACAAGTCTTTGTTTGTAAGAGAGAGGGGCAAGGGGAATAAAAATGAAAAAAAATGCTCGTACCGACAATTTTCTGGCAATTCGTTTTGTGTATTTCGTATTTGTTGACGTTTTATATATGTATATGTATTTAAATGTGAAAAAACAACAAATAGAAACATATTTTGGAAACCGAATTGCCTTGTATAGACGCAAGAAGCAAGTTCAAAAGAGAACGACAAGAATTGACTCTTATACAACATTTTTAGGTTTCCAACTCTCTTCGTTCACCCAAATCCAAATTGTACCAGATCTAGTGCCGTTTAGTACTTTTCGTACACATAAATACGAATTTCCAATGCTGTCTCCATAGCTCAATCCATAACAGTAATCTTAATTCCAAATTTCAGGTTTCCAAATTGTACTAAATTTAGTAAAATTTAGCAATTTTCGTACCCATACGTACGAATTTCCTAAGCTACCTCAATCCCACAATCCAACCGTCATTTTATTTTAAGACTCTAGCTTTGTCTGTCTGTTCACATAAATCTTGTACCAAATATAGTACAATTTAGTACTTTTCATACACATAAGTACGATTTTTTAAAGCTATCTTAATCCTGTACTCCAATAGTTCCTATTTCCAGGATTTCATCTCTCCAATAGTTCCTATTTCCAGGATTCCATCTCTATAGTACCAAAATTAAATGCAAATAGTAACAAATTTAGTACCATTTAGTACTTTTCATACACACGTACGAATTTCTTAAACAATTTCCGTCAGTTCCCAACCTCTATTTCATATACAATTTCAAGATTCTAGCAATATATATATATGTATATATATACACAATTAGAACTAAATTTAGTAACGTTTTTGTACTTTTCGTACATTTATTGGTCGAATTTCCAAAAACCATGTGATACTACTTTCTAACATTCCATCAAATGAACCCACATTCCAAAATTCAGAATTCTAGCTCTTCACATTTGCCTAATGAAAAGGGTACCATATTTAGTACATTTCAGTACTTTTCGTACGATTCTAGTATACGATTAGATCTAAACTTTTCACATCATTAGGTCTTAAGACCTAACTTTTTGACCGATCAAAATGACACTGTTTTGAATTGATGTGTGGTTGTTGTTGTTGTAGCAACAGAATACATGTCGTTTTGTCATGTATCGTCTGGTTCTGCTTCTTCTACCTCCAAATTCAGGAATGCTGTGTTAGATATCGAGCCGACAATTCTTGCCCAATATGAATTGAGGCGGTTGCACCATCCTGATCTTAGTTGAGCTAAGACTACTCGTGTTTGCCTTGGCAGCTGCTTCTCCTCAGCTGCGATGGATGGGGGTGGTCTCCAATTATGGTATTCACTCGATATTGCTCTACTGCCTGAGCGACTGCATCCGTGTGAATACCATTCAGACCTGCTTTATAGGCTTCTTGATCTAGGGGTTCACGCTTGTACCTTTGGACCTCTCTCTCTAGATCATGAAGATCTTTCCTGACGTGCCTAGGTGGGGGAGTCCTGTCCATAAGGCTATGGCAGGGATCTTCCTGACGATAACACCCAAGCAGGTACTGCATCGACAACATATAGTTGTGACGATGGACGGGTAGGATCTTCGTCTCCTCATGGAGATGGTCCACTGGAGTCATGAGGTGACACCCTGTTGCAGTTCTCAGGGCAGCGTTCTGGCAGGTTTGAATATTCTTCCACTGCGTATCACTGACATTCGCGAACCACACTGGTGCCGCATAGCTTACCACTTTATAAGAGGTCAACAAGGTTTCTTTGTCAGCGCCCCAAGTGCTGCCGGCTAGCGACTTGAGGACCTTGTTCCTACTTCTCAGCTTATCGCATAAAGCAGTGGCATGCACGGACGACTTGAAAAGGCTGTCGAACGTTACTCCCAATATCTTGGAGTAGTTGGTGGTCGGAATCAATTCTCCATCGACCATTATGTTCAGTGGGAGCTTCATTTCAGCCGTCCATGTGGTGAACAGTGTGACTGTTGATTTGGTGGCGGATATTTTCATATTCCTCAGATGGAAGAAGTTAACAATATCGGCTATGTAGACGTTTAGCCTCTCACATATATCATCAATAATGGGACCCGACGCCATGATCGTGCAATCATTCGCATACATTACGATCTCTATGCCGTCCGGTGGTTGTGGAATATCAGAAAGGGAGAGGTTAAACAGTTCCGGTGATATCACCCCTCCTTGGGGAACTCCCTGTTTCTTTCTAGCAATTGATATGTGGTAGTTCTTGTTGGTTTTTTGAATTCCTCGGAAGACTTCATGGAAAAATATATTTATAGTTGATATCTATGGTGTTTTTTTTTTTTTTTTTTTTTTAACAACCAAACCTTAAAGAATCTCAAATTACATTTCTCGTTTCTCAAGTGTGTGTGTGTTATTTTTAAATACGTATGACTGTTGTGCATATGTGTTCGTTTGTGTATGTCCTTCTTTTCCTTTGTTTGTATTGTTTACTGCAGCTACTGCTGTCTGTTTCTCTACACTGTGGCAAAAAAAGACGTCAGTCAGTAACCCAAAATTAAGTAACAAAACGAAATGCAAGAACAAAATAAAAAGAAAAACAAAAAAGGAAACAAGAAATCACATCCTGCATTGGTATGAGTTTTGATGAACACGTGTTGGGTCTTAAATACCGAGAAATACACACACAAATAGATAGATGAAGATAGGTCGGCACCAAGAAAAAAAATCTATAAAAACAAAGAAGTGAAGACAAAAACAACAACATCCAGGATAACATCCTGTTTTTTTACTATTTCGTAGATGTGTTTTTGTTGGCCTACTACTGTTTAGAAATTGCCATAAAAGACAAGTCATATTTCATATCCTTTTGGCGTGTTCTCTCTCTCTCTC